AGGTGGTGAGGTGAGGGCGGTAATTAGCGACGCGAAGGAATGTTCTTGGTCCCTTCCCCAAGAGAAGGCCACATTCTTTTTGAGGAGATCCGTGAGGGGCCTAGCAATATCCGCGAAGTTGAAGACAAAGCGGCGGAAGTATGAGCAGAGCCCAATAAAACTGCGAACTTCTTGTGTGGAACGCGGAACCGGGAATTCTCGGACTGCACGGACTTTGTCAGGGTCGGGTTGAACACCAGTGGCGTCAACAAGGTGGCCGAGTAGTTTAATCTGCCGACGTCCAAATGAACATTTCGACGAATTCAGTTGGAGACCAGCGCAACGAAAAACGTCAAGAATTGCCGAGAGACGAGACAGGTGGCTTTCGAAGGAGGGCGAGAAAACTATTACATCATCCAGATAGCAAAGGCAGGTCGACCATTTGAAACCGCGAAGAAGAGAGTCCATCATACGTTCAAACGTTGCCGGGGCATTGCACAACCCAAAAGGCATGACCTTGAATTGGTAAAGGCCGTCGGGTGTGATGAATGCTGTCTTCTCGCGGTCGCGGTCGTCGACCGAAATTTGCCAGTATCCGGATCGAAGGTCAAGGGTCGAGAAATAGTTGGCACCGTGGAGGCAGTCGAGCGCATCATCGATTCGGGGTAAAGGATAAACGTCCTTCTTGGTGATCCGATTCAGGTGGCGATAGTCGACGCAAAAGCACCAGGTGTTGTCCTTCTTTTTAACTAAGACCACAGGGGAGGCCCAAGGACTCGATGACGGCTCAATGACGTCTTTACTGAGCATTTTCTCGACCTCCGTCTGTATTACTTGGCGCTCAGCACGCGACACGCGATAAAGGCGTTAGTGGAGTGGACTGGCGTCGCCGGTGTCGATGCGGTGGGTTACGGCACTTGTGCGGCCCAGGGGACGGTCGTCGACGTCAAAGATATCCAGGTAAGAAAACAGAACACCCCGGAGCGCCGCAATTTGGGAAGGTAAGAGGTCGCTGGATATCATTTTGTCGAGGAACGCCTTATTTTGCGACGTGATGACAGGTTTCGCCATGGTCTTAGTGTCAGGTGTAAAAGAACAAATCGAACATTCATCAAAGGTGGAAAGATCGGCTAAAGTGATGCCTTGGGGAAGAACTTGGGTCGACGTAGAGAAGTTCAGAACTGGAAGTAGCACCGTGTTGTTAGCAACAATCACTATAGTATGTGGTAGTGCGATGTGGTGCGTAAGGGTCAAATCAATGAGGGGAGCTACCAGATAATCTCCATCAGGAACGGACGGGAAGGGCGACAGAGGAACGTACATAGCAGCCTGGGGCGGTAGCCGTAGAGACTCCACGGATCGTAGCCGAGTGCGACTTGGAGGAGTGAAATCAGAGCGCAAAGGCAATTCGAGCCGTAAGATACCGGTAGAACAATCGATGAGGGCGGAGTGGGTGGTTAAGAAGTCAATTCCAAGGATGACGTCGTGTGGGCAAGCATCGAGGACTGCGAAGAGAACGGAAGTGTGGTGGCCAGCAACAGTAACGCGGGCAGTGCACATACCAAGTACCGATGTTAGACTTCCGTTAGCAACTCGAACAGTAGAGAACATAGCTGGTGTGAGAACTTTTTTCAGGCGAGATCGAAGTGTAGAACTCATAACAGATACTTGGGCACCAGTGTCAATTAGAGCAGTAACGGCGTGGCCATCAACGAACACCCGAAGTAAATTGCGTCTTGAAATTGTAGCCGGTTGAGGGTTTTCGTTCCGAGTCGTCAACGCAGCGCCACCTCCAGGAGCTGCACTCGTCAGTTTCCCGGGGAATGGCCAGAATAAGCCGGTGACGGAGAGCGGCGGCGTTGAGGGGAGCGTGACGGCCGACCCTGAGGTGACGGCGAGCGGCTTGACCAGGTTCTTTGGGCGACGACGTCAGCGTAGGACGGTTCGGAGCGTGGAGATGAACGGCGGGCTGAAGAGTCCTGATTATGGTCATCCGAAAAACCGGGTTGCGAATAGTGTCCACGGTCCTGACGGCGGTCGACATTACGAAAGCTTGGCCGGAAATACCCCCTGTTGCGACAATGACGGGAGATGTGCCCAACTCGAGAGCAAGAAAAACAGATGGGTCGATCATCGTGCGTACGCCACTCAGATGGATTTCGGTAGCGTGGTGTAAACCGAGGAGTCGAAGCTGCCGCAGCGACAAGTAGGGCAGAGTGGTGGTCAGCGTTGTGGACAGGAGTGCTCATGGGCTGCGGCTGGGGAACCTGGACGCCCAGGTTAGCAAACTCCTGGCGTACGACGGCTTGAATGAGCGAGACTGTTGCCCAGTGGTCTTGCGCAGGGGGCTGATAGGAAGCGGGTGCCATGGCTTCCAGCTCCTGGCGAACAATTCTTGCGATATTGGCAGGAGGCGCAAGTGAACGGGGCGCTGCAGAATCCTCGCAAGACGAAGTCGCAGCAGTGTTTGGTAGTCTCGCGATGTGGTGGGTGATTCGCCTGCTTTTTGCTTGTTCAAATCGTCGGCATTCGGATATGATGGAGTCGACAGTGGTGCAGTTCTTGCACATTAGTATGTTGAAAGCATCATCAGCAATGCCTTTCAACACGTTGCTGATTTTGTCCGCCTCGGACATGTTTTTGTCCGTCTTCCGGCACAGTGCCAGTACGTCTTGGATGTACGTGACGTACGACTCCGTCGATGATTGAACACGCGACGCGAGGTCCTGCCTGGCTGCCATCTGACGAGCAACAGACCGACCGAACAAATCGCGAAGCTTTTGCTTGCATGTGTCCCAGCTGGTTAATTCTTCTTCATGCGTCTCATACCAGGCGCGTGCCGTACCCCTTAGGTAGAACAGAATATTTGCCAGCATAAGCGTTTCGTCCCACCTGTAGTGCTTGCTGATGCGCTCGAATAATGCGAGCCATTCTTCGACGTCTGTGCTGTCCGTCCCGGAAAACGTGCCAGGGTCGAGAAGATGGGGGGGGAATCACAGGTGATGGAGCCGGCGCGGATGGCGAGGCCTGAGTTCCAGTTTCAGGCATCGTGGCTGGAGAAAGCTGGCGTCCACTGCGGAGTTCCAGAGCCGGGTTGTGTGAAGAACCCGCACCTTCCACCAAAAGATGTTACGGGGAAGATTTATTCACCGAGAGCTGGTCTTGCTAACGGCTTAAAGAGCGCACAGTCATGCAGGCCAACGGGAGAAGCTCTAGAGTCTAACCCACTACAACCACGTTATCGTCTTCTTCATTTGGGTGCCAATTCAGCTGTGTCTAGGTTACAGTTTCATACACGTATCAATATGTTCCCCTTGAAAATAGGCCACATATTTACAAAACAGCAACTCCACACAAACAAATACGCAGTCAGGTTGCGTGGTAGAGCGCGCTTTGTTTTCCGATCAGCCGCTTGACATAACCACAGCAGAGGGCGCTCGATGCTGCGGCCTCTCACGTACACATAATTAGGCGCCGCTTCGACGGCGTATGAGCTCCGCTCGCTCGTGGGAACTGTGCTCAGAGGGCGATTTAAATAAGGAACTTATCACTCTGAAACGTAAGTGCTTTAATGTGCAAGGGCCATATGTTACAGTCGTCGGCAAACTTAACACGAACGCTCCCACGCGTGACTGCTTTGACTGATGCCAGCCGCGAAGCGTTGTGCGCTGTTGCCGATGTAATACCTTGGTATGTTTCTATAGTATGTCGGCATGCACGAGTAATATCGGACACAGAACCCAATGCTACGTGGTGCTAGCGTTAATCAAACTGTTTGAGGAGATGCTGCGGAGCGTTCGTATAAAGCTTGCTGACGGCTGTGTACAGTAAAGAGGCAAGTAGCCACTCTGCTGAAAAAGTCAACTGCTAGTCTCACCGCTTATAACAATCTGTTTTATTGTTGTAAGATTCATTAGTTTGTGCTTGTGGCAAATCTGGCTTTTTAGAAACTTTAGAGAACTATTACGCCATCAGCGTGGTTCAAAGTAAGCATTCTTAAGGCAACTTTGATCTATAAGGCTATATGACTGATCGCTTGCAACAGTAACATCCGATGATCGAGAATAGACGTTCGCAAAGCGAACGGCGTGTTTCTATATTAGCCACTCATGACTGCATTTCATAGGACACTGCGTGATTATTGTGGGTCGACGAAATAAGGTAAGCATTCAGTTTCGATGAACAGTTGCTACAAGCCATGCGCGCCAGTTAATAAGATGAACATTAATAAGATGAACGAACATACGTTCATCTTATTACGCACTCATCTTGGCCGAGTTACCAAAGTTGCTAGGCATCTGTTTCACGCTAACATTAAAGCCACTTTCAAGCTCGCAAGTGATTTCGTAATGTTATTCGAGTCCCACTCGACGCGGCTTTGTAGACCATCGATGACAGCTAAAATTTCAAAACACCCTTTGCGAAATCCCGTGAGAGGCGACGTACACTTGCAACAAGCCCAGAGGGCTGAAGTACACCGGTTTGAAATGCCATCAATCAATCGCGCGGATGTACTATTGGCGTCGATTGAAACCCGACACGCGGCAAACTGTCGTGATGCTATAGTGCGTGCCATCCACTTATCACCATGGATGGGCACACAATTATGCGAAGAGATGCCGGACAAGATGCGCGTGCCTGTCAACGGGGAGAAATGCATGTGTGGCACGCACTATATTCTCGCGAAGGCTTCCGCCTGTACGGATATCATTTGACGCCGAGAGAACCTGCCAACTTGCTTCGACGATTGGCCGCTTATGACGACGTTTTATGCGAAAGGTGGGGAAATTTGCTCTAGCAAATGGAAGTTCAGGTAGCGTATCGGAATACGTTCGAAAGACCGCTTCTGCAACAGCCTTGAGGTTGCTTATTGTGCAAGCTGAACTAAGACCAAGAGCAGTGACGCAGGTGCGCACTCAACTCAGTTGCGTGCACTAAGAATTTCTGAAACGACCAGTTCTCTGCGACGCCGGAATGTATAGTAGACCCTAAATGGACAAAAAAAAAGAATAGAACCAAGATTTATGCATAAAACCAGACTCTTTATTGCAGCGTTACATACATGCTGAATCTATCACTGTAAAACGCTCCCACTTAAAAAAAAAGTGATGATAAAAGTAATCTTTCTCGAAACAGGGGGAAAACTGGGCAGAGGTAAAGCAACCTTCTCCCACCCTTAGGAACCATACCCGATGCAGACCATCACCGACGGTAGCAGGAGTCTGGACAGCCTGGTATTTTAACAATAGGTTCGGGTGTAAAGACTTCATTGGCACGGAACTTGGGACCGACAGGAGTAGGCGTTGCTGCCGGCCGTGTGGTAGCAGCGACAGTTGCAGCAGAAGAGCCTGCGAAAGATGTGCCATTGCGAACAGCGCTTGAGAACTGTAGCGAGGCCACGTTGACGCCTACAGGAACGATGGAGGAAATATTCACCAGGGGAAACGAGCCAGCGTGTACCGCTGGAATCATGACAGGAACGGAGACGACAGTCATCGGTACAGCTATTTCATGAACCACACCCTGGGTTTGATGAGCGGGAACCGCGTTAGCCTGGTGGGTATGGTGGTGCTCGTTAATGGGATGGTTAGCATGACCGCCATGCTGATGTTGATGACCATGTTGGCTGAATTGGCTTACATGCATGGGCTGATGGGCGTGGTGGTTGGGAATAGCATGCTGGTGGGCGTGGTGGTTGTGTCCGCCCTGTGGATGAACCATGTGCTGGTGATGCTGGCTCAGATGCTGCTGCGATGTACGGTTCAGCCACAGAGACGCATTCTGCAAGGCAGCGACGATGGGTTCAACGAGGCTGTCCACTGCAGTCCTGACGCGGGTGGTTAGGTTTGACAGGGTCTCCTGTGAAGATACTACGATAGAGGGCGAGCCCGCAGCCATTGGGGGCGTGGCTGGAACTGCGGGTGCTGGCTGCGGAACAGGGCGCCCAGCAGGAACCTTGACGACTTGACAGACAAGAACCGCGACCGAAGAGTCGTCCTCCACGTGCACCTGATGACCATGGTTAGCGGTATTCTGCTGGACTCCTGGGAAGACGTGCTGATGAGAATGCTGGTTGTGAGCAGGAATGTTGTGCTGGGGATGCTGAGACGAAGCGAATGTCCTGGCCGAGGGTACAGCTTGCACGGCCATTGAGAAGGCGAGGACAGCAAACAGGGTAGCAAAATGCATAGTGGCAGGCCGGAGCTCCTGTGTGCAAGTCAAAGCACAGAAAATAAGTAACGGTGTAGAAAAAGCGAACCACTTGGGCACTTTTCAGAAGAGGCGCCAAGGCAGAAAGCAGAAAAACATAATTAAAAATGGCGAAACGAGACGTACCGCTCTCTCTCTAGTGGTGAAGTTTCAGGAGTGCGACTGCCGTGCAAGACAAGAGTGGTTTTATACGCTTCTTTTGATGTCATGGCGCAATGCGATTGATTAGAGTGGATCACAAGTTTTCAAGCATTCCTATCGCGGTTAACGTGACGTAGTGTTGGATGCCGATACAGGTTGTGGTCGATAAAGAAAATGTATTCTTTTTTTTTCGCCTTTACACGCCATGATGGCACGTGGCTGTGACGTCGAGGTGGCTAGCGCGAAGTAGTGATTTTTATTATCTTGTCGGTTTACAGGCTGCAATTCAAGTGGCCGAAAATAAACGGGAAACACTCGCGCAATTCAGTATACGTGTGCACGCCAACAGAAAAAAATTGTGTATTCGTTACAAATCAAACCGGAACACACAACGATACCATCCTTATTTGATATATCATGGATGCGTGACACGATACTTAGTAGAATAAATTTTCAAATAATAAATGATTTTGCCTCACAGCTCGTGCGGCCTTCTCTCCTGTATTGATTTTTTCTTTCACAATGCACTCATTTAGCGAAGTAAGATATAGCAGATGTTATTCACAAGAGGTTTTTAATTATTAGATTACTTATATACTCAATCAATTTTATTAGGCCTTCACTAGAGCAAGATATTATCTCTACGTCAGGAACAAAAAGCTGCCATCTAGCAGCTTGACAAAGGTCTGGCTGCTAGATAGCATTTGAAGAAACGCGAGTAAATTGGGAAATTATATTTTCTGGTTCACTTGTTTGTTTTGTAGAGAAGATGAATGAGTCCTGTACTGGGTCAATCCCTCCAGTGACATATCTAGTAAGCCTGCCTTTACCAGGAACTGCTCGTGGAAGCTCTCGAATTCGTGAATTGAGCCATTGATCAAGGTACCGGTCGACTCTCACAAAAGCGGTAAAACAACGCCTTGACAGTTTCCATATATATAATTATATTATTCACTGCTTACGTTCACAAGAAATACAATCAGCTTCTCCAAGCGTTTAGAATCAAACACGGCACCCTAGGCTGTGCTTTAAATAGAGAAAAAGAAGATGAAGTATTGCCTTAATGTTACTCGTTCTATAACGTCTAGAGCACAGAAAAAGCTTTTATAATATTTACATTCCACAAGCGTGCCGAAGACAGTCGCTTTAGTGGGTGAAAGGACAGTTAGATAAAAATAAACGAAAACGTTTTTCTCTAGCTTCAGAAATACAGGGAAAACATATGTTTCAATAATGCTGTGAAATACACACGCAGACAAAAAAAGTCCTTATTGAATAACGTACAACCTCTACACGCCCTTAAAATTAAGAGATAGAGGCACATAAAATTAGAATATTCTTTTTTTCAAAGATATGTAGTTCTTGACTAAGGTCACGTCACCATCTACCTGTGGCAATGAAATGCTAATTACTTTCATTGTAGGTTAAAGCCGGGAATACTTTACGTAATCACTAGTGCAAAGAACTCCTTAGTCAAAAAAGACGATCGACAATCATCTGAGCGCTGTTTTCAAAACACGTCTCATGCTTGAATTCAGCCTATGACTGCATCAAATTCAGAAGACATACTAAAATCACCCCGATGGTTCTAGCTGCAGCCACTTTGAAATAATGATACCTTGACAGAATATTTGCACCATTTAGAGTGCTAAGTAAGGTCTACAAGATGATAGGAATGTGCGAGACGACATACAATACCAGACTGAACACAAGAACTTGCATTTAAGGAGGATGGATTCTGCAAATCGACAACCATGGACCAGTCCTGGTGATGAGCTGTAACCAGTATATATATAGCCCTGAATGGAAAATCCCCCTGAGTTAGGCCAAAAATTATTGGTTTTAAATATCAGTTCTCTTTCTCTTCAAAGCGTATCTCACAATCAGCACGCGTGGGCCAATTCAACTTCCCTGTCCGTTGCTATCTAACTTGAAACTCGCAACAAGCCCCACACTATTTTAAGTGAAAGCCTTTACTTTCTCATGCTCACTTCCATTCGTTCGTTTTTGTCTCCATCCGAGCCCTGGCATGATGCCAGGTGGCATTATTAAACTTCTCAGCGCAAAACTTCTTACAACTACCTCAAGAGACGAGGAAGAGCGCAGAGTTTGAACTAAATTTATTACTGCTACGACGCACATATATACGTTACAAAAAAGACGACAAGATCACTTGCTTAAGCAGTGTTAATTGTCGGAAGTTTTGCGCTGAGAAGTTTATTAGTGCATTACCAACTAGACCAATCCACCACTTTACTACGCCAGGTGGAAGCCGGGTTGTGCCAACGGAAGCCGGTCATGCCCTGCGTCGGGCTGCACAGCACTCGTGCGCTGTTTGTGCAGCGTCTCTATGCCCAGCGTGCCCCACTAATGCAAGAATGTATATGTGCACATCGCGTTTCATTGTGACCGACCCCATGTAACGCCATTTAAAGAAACCTCGTCCCCCCGTGCAATGCTACAGCTGTACAGAGTACTTTTTCTCGGTTTTCTGCGGTACAGTTTACCGGCATTGACCAATGCAAGCAAAACAAGCCTTCGAACGCTACAGAGTGTTCAGTCCCAGGCACTCCGGATTTTCCTCGGCTTGTCTCGTAGTGCGTCGACAATGAGTACTATAGCTATCGCCGGTGACCACCTCATCACGACACATATCGACGTTGAGGCACTCAGGACACATATAAGGCATATTGCTCGGACACCCTGCCACCACCTAGCCTCTTTACCAGCAGACGGACCACGTTCGTCATTTTGCCAAACGGTCACCACATATCGCGATTCTTTGCCAACATGCTTCACACCCGCGGCCAGGCCTTCGTCTCCTCCCTGGTGCCTGACTCAGGCTAACATCAGGCTAACTATACCTGGCATCCAGAAAAAAGCAAATATGTCGTCACCTGCTCTTAGACAGCTTGCTCTGCTCTTGTTATACGAGACGTATCAAGGCTGTATACACGTATACACCGACGGCTCTGTTTCACAGAATAGTTCAACGGCATCATTTGTTATACCGATAAAAGACACGACAAGAAAATTCAAGACCTCCCACCTTACGACATCAACGGGAGCAGAGCTCACAGCTCTTCGTGCCGCATTGCAATGCATCAACGACCAACAGCCACAAAAATGGACAATTTTCAGTGACTCAAAGGCGGCACTGCAATCCCTTCTATCACCTTTACGCCACGGCCCGTACGAACAGCTGGTATTTGAGATTGCAGAAAATACTCACCAACTCATTGAGGAAGGACATGAAATAGCCTTTCAATGGCTCCCAAGTCATTGTGGAATAATTGGCAATGAACGGGCCGATCGAGCTGCCCGTTCTGCCCATACTGAAAGCGATGAAATATCAATTCCGCTTTCCAGAACTGACGCTGCACGGAAACTCCGCATGCTTGCTCGCAAGCGCACCTCGTCCCAACGGAACGAGTCACATTTCATCCATGCACGGTTAGGTACTTCGGACCCAAATCTTAGTCTTCGAATTCCTCCGGAATCACGTCGACGAGACGCTACTATGCTGTGCAGATTATGGTTGGGCGTCACATTTACCAATGCGTACGCGTTCCGCATAGGAATGGCTGACACTGCTGCATGCGACCAGTGTGGCAGTGATGAAACAACTTGGCACATTCTGTGTGAATGCCCACAATACTGCTCGCAGAGACAGTCACTTTGCAATGCACTAGATGAACTGGACAACCAGCCTTCTTCGGAAGAAAGAATCCTGCGCTGCCGACAGGACATTATGTCGCAGAAGAAGGCTGTGAAGGCACTCCTGCGCTTCTTGCGTTCAACCGGCCTGTCCAAACGACTGTGATCGGAACTCCCTGAATGTGTGCGCATGTGGTTTTTTTTCTAATTTATTTTTTATCTGTCTATTTCTATCCTCTTTCCGACCCTTTTCCCCACCCCCGTACAGGGTAGCAAACCAGTTCGTCTAGGTTAACCTCCCTGCCTCTTGCTTTTATTTATTTCTCTCTCCTCCACCCGTGTCAATAGGCGCTGGCGTTCGACGAACACACTTTGGAATTCACGAAGAGTCCAACATTTAGGGACGAAGCTCCTTAAAGTGTAGGCTTGCCTACCGTTGCAGTTGTCTGTCTTAGCCCCTACTAGTACTCGGAGTGCTCACTAGATGGTGATGCATTGCGCTACAGCACTCACTCCACTCCGATGTGTAGGGTACAGACAGACAGACCAACGGATGGACGGTCGTCTTTGATGACGTGCGGGACAAGGTTCACGAAATATTCACGGTTTTGCCGATGAACCTCTGGAGATTCGCCCAAAGATCCTCATTCAAAGCGTGAATATGCTGTCATTTTTTTTTCTACGACAGTGTAGCTGCAGCACGAACAGGCCCGCGCATGCGTGTTTAACTGGTCATTTGCCAGGTTAACCTCACCGACTACTGTCTTATTTTCTTCCTGCATTCTATACGTGACTGAACAACGAAATGATTATGAGGCACGTCATAGTGCTAAGCTTCAATTTGGACAGTCTGGCGTGCTTCCACATGCACTGACATTGCACAGTAGACGGGTCACCATCATTCCGCATTCTTTGAAATGCGACCACCCTGGGTGTTATCGAACAGCATAAGCGTTCGTGCTTCCGGCTGCATCGAATTATTTCGGCATATGCTGCACCACTTCATTCGTCGTTTCCTTCCGAGATGGCAAATTCGTTCACTCCCGCATAACTCACTGTCAATGCTATGCAATAGAGGAACAGCTGCGGATAAAACGAGTGCGCGGAAGTAGAGACGTGGCATGGTTTTGAATGAAATCCGGCCGAATAGTCTTTGAAACTCTTTGCCGTCAGGGTAACGTAGACGTCGTGGTGTTCCATTGGCATGCGCGGACACCCGCGTTTGATACCTCACCCCGTGAGCTATAAAAAAAAGCATGCTTAAATTTACTGCAGGCCAATCAGTTGCCAGTGAGCTCCCTGTACAGCGTGCTTTATAGGCAAATCGTTTCACCACGCTAAATCTCTCA